TTAACTAAACAAATATTTATATAAAAAATAAAACCTTTTTAAAATTAAAATAACGAATACCACATAAATAATTCACTGGTATATTATAATCACTTTAAGCAAAGCAAACAATATGTCTTTTTTTTTAATCGTGCTATTGTTCAACACATTCATACTTTTATTTACTTAATTCTACCTCTTTCGAATGAAGATAACTCAAAGAGCTGAATTCTTCTTTCTTCCATATCATTTATTCATGAACTCATATTTTCGCAGCACTTTTGATTGAACAGTCGCGACTAAAATTATAAAGACAAGTATTCGTGAGATTTTACTTTTGTTACATTACATTGATCTTTGAATTTATCTAATATTTTGGCAGTTTGAATTAATAACTAAAAATAAAATGATGCGGAAATCTCGTTTTTATCCATTTTCTTAATTTCGTTTTATAAGTTTTTTTTTTTAAAAAAAATATGTATAACCTGCACTTTATTAAAAAATTGTGTCACTTTTACAGTAAGTCTTATTAGAAGTCGATAGGTTATTTAAACTTTTACTCATGTCAGATAAAAGAAGCATTGATTTATAAAATCGCAAAAAAAATAAATAACCAAATCGTTTTTATATATTCAACTTTAACTTAGTAATGATAAATTACTAAATACAATAGCTTTTCATCATGATTTAATGCGGTGATTGAAATCAGTAGCTTAACCTGTCACAGATTATGGACATGCATAATGATATAGAATTGCGTATCAGGCATTCGGCATAAAATTTAATATGTAATATCTTGCAGTTTAATAATGTCGAAATGTTTTGAATAATTGTATAATAGTGTACGTTGATATGTACATCATACGTAAGATTTTTTTTTTCTTTTTAAATTAACACCATATTTTTGCATTTACATTCTAGAAATGGACAACCTTGACTTTCAAACTACTACCTTATATTATCGATGATCCTGACCTTCATATTATTGATGGGGTTGAAACCATTTACGAAGAAGATCTAGAATCTTTCGAAATTAAAAGTGTATGCGATTTAAATAAAGGTACAATAACCTATTTGACTAAAGAATTATATCGATGTCTAGATAAAATATATAGTATACAAACTAGTATAACCGACTCAAAAATTTCTTCTATATATATGTATACTATATGCTTTTTTTAAAAAAAAATTTTATACACATATGTATACTATACGTTTTTCTCTTTTTTTTAGCCTACGTCACGTATTTCATGATATCAACCTTACAATTTTATACAACACCGATTCAACACCTAATACTTTTTAAAAAAATAACATACATTGTAATTGTAAAATCGGTAAGTTGGTCGCTCCACAATCGGATACGTCGTGTAATCACTTAGAAGGGTTAATAACAGGTCGAATGAGGCGTGTTAGATTTGACGAGTGGTTAATATTGTATAAGTCGGGTTTATGATAAAGGGGTTTTTGTTTGTCATTGAAAATGTATTAGTGCACTTTATGTAACGGTAACTGAGGGTCAGGTTATGTAGTATGAAACAATTATTTTAATAAAACAAACAGTTCCACTGTTATTTAACAAGCGATTCATTATGAGCGATATGTATTATGTACTGTTTTATTTGCTAAGGGGAAGTTATTTTTCCCGAAGGGTCTTCAGGCCTTTATTTTTAATATCATAACTATTTACGTCCTGCGATTCATACAACTTATATCACTGATGCTACTGATGCATAGCATCTTACCAAAATACTCTTCCGGCCGATCGCTGATATCCAACACATTAGTCACATGCGACTGATCGGTCGCATTCGACGGATGCGATCGACCTTTTCTCCAATTAAGCAATGAACCCCCAAACAGCCAGGGTCCATTTGGGCCCCACAACGTAACAAAATTCTTAATACAACAATATACGGAATTATATCCCTAAGTAGTTTATACGTATGAAATAGTTGTAATCATACCGAGATGCATTCTCAGGAAAAGTTTTTTTTTTATTTCATTCTATTTTTTTCGTATTGACTTAATAATAACACCACTAAAATGTGTGCGCATTATAATTCATTGTGGAGTCGCGGAGTTTGAGTTCCCAAACAATTATATGTCTGCGGAACCTGATAACCGAAATTCTTAGTACCACAATTTTAATTGTTTGCCATATTATCTTATTGATATTTTTGAATAATGGATCAATCAAAAGAATTTTAAGTTTTATTTTATTTAAAAAGGTGTGACTATTCTACGTATGATCATTTCCTTAACTCACTAAATTCCAAAGTGTAATCTTCCGTACAAATTTTTGTGCAATCCTTTTTATCTACATAAAAGACTATTCTAGAATTAATTTGCCCAAAAATTATTATAGAAGATCTTTATCGAATATGTGGCGGATCCATAAAGCTTTAAGGGTAGAGTACATGTAGATCATTTATCATATGATCTGCGCAGTAAATTTTAATATATATTATTTTTAATAGATTTATAATACCTAATTTTTAAATAAACCTATTTCAACGAATTTTAATCCGAATTTAATAATTATACTATCATAAAAATCTGCTTTACAACTTTGCTTAAAGGTCTAAAAGAGTTAAGTTAGTAAAAATATTTTAAATACCAAAATAAAAAAAAATTTACGATTAAAGGTAAACGCTGATCGGTGTAAATTCTCATAGAAGTGGATTTAGAATTTTCCAATCGCAGATCTTTTACTAAAAGGAATTTACATCAAATTTGAGCTACAATAAAATTATTTTTGAACTATACATAAAATAAATAAAAAAAAGAATAATCTATTTATTAATGATTTCATCAGATTTCTAATCTTATATAGGTGTGTAAATAAAATTTTTTTTAAAAAAAAAACTTTTTTAAATTTGTAAAAAAAAAAGAATGAGTCTATTAGAATTTGAAGAATACGCATTTGATGAGGATTACCATGAAACTTTTGAAGCATATAAGAAAGCAGCTGATACTGGTGATGCTAACAGTACATTTCAGGTTGGATATTGTTATGAAAAAGGAATTGGAGTTGAAAAAAATGATGTTATGGGATTTGAATATTATAAGAAAGCAGCAGAAATGGGTCATGTTGATGGAATATATAATGTTGGATATTGTTATCTAATTGGAATTGGAGTTGAAAAGGATGAACATAAGGCATTCATTTATTATCAAAAATCTGCAGAGATGGGGGATGCTGTGGGAACACGTGGTGTTGGACTTTGTTATCAAAATGGAATTGGAGTTGAAAAGGATGAACATAAGGCATTCATTTATTATCAAAAATCTGCAAAGATGGGATACGCTGGTGGAACATATAATGTTGGATATTGTTATGAAAAAGGAATTGGAGTTGAAAAGGATGAACATAAGGCATTTATTTATTATCAAA